GCAAAAGAAGACGGGATTGACAAAGTCTGGCAAAGAGACTGTGCAAAAGCAACGCAATACATTGTATGGTGTCGCCTGCATTAAACAACGGCGCGCCACTAGAAGACTGAGCGAACACCGGCCACTTCATGCTACCCCAAGCGTCCTTCGGGACAAAGAACCAGCCCAGTGCCAGACAAATGATTCGAACCATACCGACTTCGGGGAAAAAACAGCCCAAACAAATAATTAGAACCATACTGACCCTTGCAACGCATATCGACTTTTTGTCCAAACAAATTCAGGCAAGCCATGGGCCACAGGCCATGGGTCTGGACATTCCCCAAGCTGGAGCTCGCGCCTGCGGCTTGCTCGCTCTCAAACATCTCCAGGTAGGCGTGCCAGGAGTCTGAAACCTCCTTCCTCACGCTCGGAATCAAATCGGAGCTGCCCAACATGGACTTTCTGTTGGTTGGAAGGCAAACCGCGGGAAACCGATTTCATATTATAAGAGCCCTAGTTTTAGGAAAAAGAAACATTTTTGAATTTGCTGGTGGGTCCCAAGGAGTGACAATCGCAGGTGAGGACATGGTCATATTTGCCACTCAAACAACAACACCATTCAAGTTGGAAACTCAAGTAAGTGGCCATGAAACTGTAGCTCCCTCCACGCAACAAGTGTTGACCCATTTGGTGCTCCAAGGAAACCGGAACGAAAGGTCAACCTTTTGACTACTCGCTTCCTGACTGGTTGGCCGTTGGCCCACAAATGTCCAAAATATTGTTTCTCCTGCACGTTCTTCCGAAATGCATGAAGTGTAAGGAATGCAGGGGGTGAGACCATGGCCAAACGTGGACTACCACTGGAAAGTCACACAGGCCCGTTTATCGTATAGACAACGCGTTCATCTGTGCTTGATCCGGGCCTCAAGAACATGGTCCAAAGCCAGCAACTTCAGACTTCAACCCCCGGCAGCGAGTTGACTTGCGGGTAAAAGAACATGCCGGAAACCCACAAGAGCAAAGGGGCAAACAGGTTAGTCAGTCTGGCGAAAGAAAAGTTGGGCGTGGCCGCAAAGGTGTCATGCACCGGTCTCTTATGCACGCTGGTCTTAGGCAAGCCCCAAGAGAAAGGAAAAAAATGGAGGGGGAATCCGCGCTGGCTTCTGCATTCATGGACCAGATTGGTTCAACCTGGTTCCCGCGTCCTCCTATCCTGTGGCACATCATGTGCCCTTTCCTGGCCGTTCCCCTTTCAGGGAACAGTGATATAAGTGATCACCCCACACTTTCTGCTGAGGGGCCGCACCTGCTTCCGTCTGCCCGGGAACATATTTGCCATGGAACCAATTCCTTTCAACACGTGAACATACAAAACATCACCCTCAGCAAAGCGAACCTTATTCCCTTACCTCCAGACTATGCAACACATCCTTGATTGGCCTTTGCAAGTGCAGCCGGTTTGGGGCGGAGCCCCTGAATTGCACCCGCACAGGGGGGTTCTTTCGAACAGGGTTGTTTCCCTTTTGGTTATCTTGAACGTACTGTCAAAGTGGGAGTTCTCACGCCATGGCACGCAGTCTCCGCATGGATCCAGAGGTCTTCCAAGGTGGTCGTGTTGATCTCCCAGGCATCGCCATCGACCTCGGCTCCCAGAACTGCTTTTTGCACCCTGGGTTGTCAAAGGGGAAGTGGAAAACAAATTTTGGAAGTCCCCCTTTCCCTCAATGTAGGAAGCACTTTGGGTAGAGTTCCCACTTGGAGAACCTGATGCTGCTAAGCGGAAGCTGGCAATGTGGAGACGGGTATGTAAGAGAATCAAACACGCATCAATTGTTCCATGCTGCACATGCTTGCAATCTAGGGCTGCAGGGTTTCTAGCCTGATCCAGACATGAAAGGAACATGATGGCCGTTCATGTACATTTGCTCCTATTGTTAAATATTGTCGAGTTCGGTGCCAAGAAACTATCAAGGAGAACAAAACACACGAGAACCCAGCTGACAAGTAATTAGCCGGTGCCCATCAGCCCCTTCGGCCGCGTTGCCAGCAGAACTCTCAACTGGAACGCGTCATGATAAAAAGCAAGGACAGAGCTGCACGAGCGCCAGTGCCCAAGAAGCAGACTCAGGTGAAAATGCCTCAAACCCCAGGCTCTACACTGGAACAATTGGACAGGCCTTGGCTCTGTCGGGTCTAAACCAATCACGACATGAGTTCTGATACACAGGCACAATGCCAGGCTCTGTCAGGACTTCCCAGTAACCTTTTTTGAGGCGGCAGGCTTAGAGACAAATCCACATTGTCACTGAGACACACCTGCTAACCACCTTCTTCGCGCCTTGGCATATAGTTGATGGGAGAAAGTGACTGCTACGAAATATTCTGCAATCAGAACAAGATGGACATGCTACAAGACCTCTGCAACTGCAAGAATCACGATTGGAGCTAGGTCATCTTCAATCACAAATTGCTTCGTCCATGTGAGCCTTGCAAGTGGAAACTTGAAATTCTCGCGACTCAGGGAACCAAAATGAGACAAGCTGCCGGCGAGTCGTCAACGTCGCTAGCCTCATGGCCTGGCAAATCTAAAGTTGTGCCTCACGGTCACATCACAGCTCATGTCTCTTTTTGTTAGATGGACCGATCGGACCAGCCCTTCCGCTCCGAAGTGTTGAGTCCATAACAAGTTGCAAGCACCACGACAGTTGCATCACACATCGTACCGCGCTTTCAGCTACACTGCCTCGTTGTAAGCCAGCAGCAACCAAGCAAGCAACGAAGCAAGCAGGGTTCCAGCGCAAGGGAGCAAGGGAGCAAGGACGCAAAAAAGCAAGGGAGCAAGGAAGCAAAAAGGAAGGGAGCAAGGAAGCAAGCAAGCGAGTGAGCAAGTCGGCAAGTCAGCAAGCCAGCCAGCCAGCCAGCCAGCCAGCCAGCCAGCCAGCCAGCCAGCAGCAAGCAACTCACATATACGCTGATGCTGAATCATAATCCTTTCTGAGCGCGTTGCGCGAATTCATGCCAAGCCACTTCTAGCCCAACGACTGTGTGCCCTTGTAGCACATTCTCAAAAACTGGTCAATACTTGATCAAGGCAATAATGATCCGCTGAACACGAGAAGGTCACACACAGGAAGGGGTCCGCTGACACACGAGTCGGGGGGTCGTTCTCTACCAGTATGTCCTGATTTGTCCAGATTTGCATCTGAGCCAGTACCTGGCAAAAAGAAAATGAGGACGCAGCCTCCGTGAGGCTGTCCTGTTTGCCCACAGCAACTTCCAACAGTTCATGGCACCTACATTAGTGGGTTGGCATAGGGATTCAATAAAACTTCATGGGTCCCATCCCCCCAACCAAACGACTGGATGTATGCTACTTAGATTGAATTTAATCACGCAAATTGCCAAGAAGCCATGCTTTGAATAAAACCTCAATATGTGCTTCCAAGTAGGGACAGACTGGTCCAGGGAGACAACTCAGTTCTATTGGGATCTTCGAGGTCCTCGGTCGAAAGTGGTGTCTCTCACTTTAGGGCCTTTCTGGCAAACAAGATGACCTCAATCCACCGCTGATCCATGTGCCCGAGCAGCCTATCCTCTGCAAACAAAAAAACACCGCTCACACAGGAACGAAATTAATTGAAGCACCCGACTGAAAGAACTTGAGAAGCGAGGCATGGCCTAATTCTCTCCGCAACATGTCGAAGGTCGAAGGCCGCGTCCACGCCTGTCGAATTATTATCCATCGCAAGGCAACTTGGGTGCCCAAAAGGCGGCGCCACTCGCAGTCCTCGCCATTTGGCGAAGAAAATGCGTGGCTTGAGCTGCAAATGCCACGCGAAACCGTTGCACTCAAGTTGCGGACATCAAGTTCCCCCTCCTTAGAAGGCTTGGCCAACACAAGGAAGATCATCTTGCTGCCAAGCTGAGATAGGGAAATTCGGCTCCGTGATAATGTACCCGACTATGAAAGCAGTCAATTTGCCAGGCCTCAACTCGAGCGAACAGCACGCCTATATTGGCCAGTTCTCTATCAATGCGGTTCTAAGCATGGATGGAGTGTGCAAACGGGGGGGGGCCTCAAGCAACGGAGTCTACCCGCACAGGTCGGACCCTGCATCACCACACTCCTTTGCTGGGCCAGCTGAACTTTTATCCGTCTTCCGCTTGTCAACCATCTGAGATCCATACCTGCTTTTGCAACCCAGCTGGTTTCTTCGCAATGGCCAAAGCTTCTGGCTTGATATCGTGTTTTCCGCTTCGGAGGTATACTGACAAACCCCACAATTGAAGGTCTTCAGCTCAAAAACTATGTAAGGTGGCTATGCCCATCTCTTGCGTCGTACTGTCCCCGAACCTCCTAACCGATTGAAGCTTTGATTATAGCTCCAGCCCTTTCCGCGAAATGGGAAGAAAGTCAGAAAGACTTGGACGACACCAAAACAGGGTTAGGCTGCTTTTTGGCTTCCCTTACAGTTCAAAAGAGGAGAACTGGGAACCACCAATTTTCAATAGCGGGTGATCCGTTTCAGAACTTGTTTAGGACAGGTTTCGTACACCTCCAAGAGGGATCGATGACACATCCAGGGTGCTCCAAACATGTTTCCAATACCAGGACAACCCTGGCTCACAATAAGAGACGTCGAGCAAATGGCGTAGTTCCTGTTTGCTTGGCTACCAAGTTCCGTATCAACCAAAAGGAGGTTCACCAACTTCATAGAATCTGCATGATGTTCACAACTGGGGTCACTGTTCAACCCTAAACCTAAGGACTGATGTAGTCCCTATCGCGTCATTTTAGTCAAGGGCAACTATGACAAGAGGGGGGACTCGCAAAAGATCTGTCTTCCCATCTGATTCTCCTTTACACCAACCGCAAAAAGGGCACCCTCGCAAAACACACACATGCACACACGCAGACACACACACAAACAGACACACAAACAAACACACAAACAGACACACAAACAGACACACGCATACACAGACCAAGCCGCACTTCCATGTGCGGAGTGACCCGCCTGCCGCTGCTGCTCCGTGGGCCATTTCCGCAGGGCTGCCTGGCTCCATCTGCAGTCCGGAAAGTGTGCGCCTCAACGCTTTGAGGCATATCTGAAGTGCAGAGATACGCAAACTGTTGTTACGCGGTGCTTGACCGAAGTAGAAGTTGCATTCATTGGAACACCACTGCGATAGTGCATATACCTGGGTGTTGTCGGTGCTGAGTTGTTTCAGGGAATACATCCAAACGTGCTTCTTGGATCCTAGGTCAATGTGGCCGGGTCCAGTGATTGAACTAATGATAAAGTTGGGTGAAAGTACGTGGACAGTTCCATCGCGTTGGTTTGGTCATCCCCCGTTCTTGCACATTTAATAAAGGAACTTGCGCCTACTTTCACCCTGGTGTAAGAGAGCTCGTATTCCCCACACTCGCGGGTCCCGGTGTCCCCTGCGTCCGTATTCTGGCATCATTGGGCGAAACGCTTGCTGGCAAATCGCATTGCACTCGAGCAAGAGGGCTGCTAAATGCCAGCTTAGTGGGTAAGAATAGGAAAGAACAACACAAAAGCATCACACCATAAACGTGATATGCGTGCGTCTTGCTTGAGTACCCTTTGGGTTTGATTCAATCAGAAGAGAACAAAAACGGCCCTAATTCGGGAGGATGCCTGTTTTGTGGGACCTTTCTGTCACCACCTTTTGGGAGGGAAACACAAAGGGCGCTGGGCGCCCACACTCAAACCCTTTCTTTTTGAACAACCCATGGAAAGTGTGGCCATGGTTGGGCAAAAAGAAAACACAACCAGGGACTCTTGTAGCCTTTCAAGAGAAACCCAAAAAAGATCAAGCAATAGTGGGTTGGATACATGAAAAAACCTATATTATATATGATCATCTACATATGTAGATGTATATATATATATATGTTTTCATTTATATAAACAAACAACAGACACAACCAGGTCAAACATAATTACACAAGGAGTTGGCGATGCCCTGCCCGTGGCTTATAAACGCCTCGCTGTCCAGCCTCCGGGCTACGAAGCAAGGCGTGGGCCACAAAGCAAACCTGGCAGGTCAAAACCAGGGAGTGGCGCTGGTTTTCCTGCCGAGAGGTTTTGCCAGTTTGCCCTTGGGTGTGGTTTTTGTTCACCACAACTTGCCAGTTTTCCATTGGGTTTGTGTGTGTGTGTGTTTGGTTTCGCCCCAATGGTTTCTTCTGAGGTCCCCCAAAAGGGCCATACCGAATCGAGATTCGGCTTACATTGAGCTTCAAATCCCTCTCACCCAAGCCCCATGGAAAACTGTCAACACCCCTCTGGCAGGAGAACAAGCACCGCATCACTCGAGCACAAGGACGGGAACAAGCAGCATCACTCGAATATGATGTGCATCCTTCACGTGCCCACCAAGTCTTCGAACCTCATGAAGCCGTACCAAGCAATTTATACCTGTGCAAGAACAACTGGCGGATGAATGAAGACCTCCCGTTTGCTCGACAGCTGGTAATTTTGTGGTACCAGTAACATAGATGACCTCTTTTATTTTTTCCATAAAATAGACAACCCCTTCGCTGGCCCCAAAGGACAAGCCATACAAGCCACCAGGTACGAACCATGCCCGCCTCTGGGCCGGATAAATGAATCTCTTCCCGCGCCTTGCGGGCGGATGGGAGCCAAACTAACAAGCAAGCGAGCGAGCAAGCAAGCAATCAAGCAAGCAGGCAAGCAAACACAGAAACAAACAAACAAAGAAATAAAACAAACCAAAAAACAAGCAAACACGGGGGAAACAACAAACATAAACCAAAAAACATACACAAAAGGGAGCGGTCATGGTGAACAGTAAGCTTAGCGAATGGTTGCAGGTAAACAGAAGCAATGCGACTGGTCCAGCGTTCCGATCAACAAGCGGCGGTGCCAGGCAGTACTACCTGCCCTGGCTCTTGAGAGGCAAGCCCGCAGCCAGGCGTTGACCGTCGATGTGCAGTGAGTCTAGTCAAGTCAAGCATGGGCTGCGTTTAAAATCATTGAATCAGGATGGGTGTGGCTTCAAACCATCGACCAGGAACATGGCCTGCTTTCAAAATCACTGAAAAGGGATGGGATTTCTTTTCAAGGCCACCGGAAGGGAGCACTACCCTTTGAAACCACCAACGTGAGATGCCTCCTTTTCGTTTCCTTGCAGAACCCACTAAAAAGATGAGTCCGTGAGTGAGAACCCCTCGACCGACAGGGCGTCCCATACTACCAGCTGGGTGATATGAGACTTGCACCTCCAGAGCCACGGCGGCCACGGCCGCGAACCTCAAGGCGGTAGCCCGGTCTTCCATTCCAGGGCTCCAAGTAGCTACGAAGCTTCGATTTTATGTCCTCAACTACTTGGATGGTGATATTGGCATTGAAGCCTTGAACGTGTAAGCGCCAAAGAGCGTCTAGATGGAGCCTGTGAAGTGAAAGGAGCCCTGGATTGCAGCGCGCTCAAGTTGCCAAGGTGCTCGGGGTTGCCAAGCGTCCGCAGCATCGCAGACTTCGCGAACCTGCGCAAAAAACAGAGAGCACAAAGGTGGTGAAAAGAAGCCAGGCAAGACAGGCTCCCTGCAATCAGAAGGAACACCCACAAGGAAGTGCCTCCCGATAGGGCAACGCCCAAAACGGGGTGGTTCGCTCGTTTAAACTGGATACCCTTGCAAAAAGGCAGAGCCGCATGAATCTTCAGATTCCAGAGCGAGCCGGTCAGTTCCTGCCAAACCACGCCGGCCTCCAAAGAGGCTCCGGTAGGTGAAAGGTGGCGCACAGGCACAGTAGCTGCCACAGGCGGAAGCCGTCCTCGCGGATTTCTTTGGCGAACCCGGCAAACTGCCAAACGGTGAGTCTTCTGGCGCCTCTGCTCAATACTCACAGAGTTGTTCCAACTTACGGCTCTCTGACAGTTGGGTACCTGAAACGTCCCTTGATCTGTCAACGAGTTGGAGTGGCTGGACAACAAGTATCTTTGGTGTCTTGCATTTGCGAAAACAACTTTCCCTTGAACTGCAGCATGCTTTTGTGTCAAGAGGGATGGCTTTTCGGCCAAACATGGTTACGCATTTGGGATAAAACGAGTTGATCGAATAAGCTACTGTAGTAAAGAACACAAATAACATGAACCACAACACTCCCCACATTGATTAAAGACACAATTCACCTTGACTCCGGCGATTGATTGGCTTAGCCCACACGCGCGAAATCACCAGGCGAGATGCCATTCCGACAAAACAAGAGCGGAAGAGGAATGTGTTAATGTGTTGCCTGTCTGCAGACATGCCTTGTAGCAGCGGATTGTTCTTTTGCCCAGATGGCTGCGCAACGTGTGCAAATTCTGCACCCCCTGGATGCCAAAAGGGGAGTCACCTCTTGCGGCATCACCCTAAAACGTGAGCCCTTTGTGGCCCTTGCGTTCGGCTTTCTCATAGCCGAGCCGCGTCAAATGATCCCGGAGCGTCACTCCGGGCTGCACCTTCGTGATGAGGTCCGCGTCGTTGACCGCGCCCTTCACCTTGTCCACCACCAGCAGCTTCTCGCAGACCCTCATCTGAAGCCAGAGGTATCTGGCTTGCACATGCCTTGTGCGCCCAACTCCTCTGCGCTCAGACATCGCCTTTGCCGCACTGCTGTCTACCTTCAAGGTCAAAGGCTTGATCGCCCCCGTCCAAAACTCCGCCACGCCCCGCATGAACTCGCCCAGCGTGGCCGTCCTGCACATCCCATAGTACTCCGCCTCCGAGGACGACAGGGCCACCACCTTCTGTGTCGTCCCCTTCACCATCAGCGTGTGCTCGCCGTTCTTCACCACCGATCCCGTAGTGCTCCTCCGAGTCACCGGATCTCCGGCCCAATCACTGTCAGACCACGCCATGACCTGCGGCACCGCCAAGTCCTGCTCGCGGAGCACCTTCTTCAGGTACGGGTACTTCACCAAGTAGCGCTTCAACTTCAGCCAATCATTCTCACTTGGCGATCTCATCTTCGATGCCAGGCTTCTCACCACATGGCCCAAATCCGGCCTATCCTGGCTCAGGTACGCCATCCTCATCACCAGCGATCTGTACTCGCCCATCTGCTCCACACTCAGCTCCGCCGACTGGTCCACGATGACCATGTCCTTCGCCACCTGCTTCTCCTCGGGCATGTCCACACCCTTCGTCTTGTCGTTGAACCCGAACGCCTTCAGCAAGATCTCCGCGTGCCTTGCGTCCGCCTCCACCTCCAGCTTCCATGCCGTTCCATCCGGTACATACCTGATGAGCCGATTCAGGAAGAACAGCTCCTTGTCATCTCCAGGGCTGTCCCCCATCGCCGTGTAGCGGGTGTTGAGGATCTTGTCCAGCTCAATCAGCTCCTCATCCGCCGCCGTTGCCATGAAATCATCTCCATGCACTGAACTCAGCTCCCTTCTCGCAAAGCCAATTCGAGTAGTCCTTCTGGAAGATGTGGCTTGCGTCCTGGGTCCCATACATCGACCTCAGAAGACGCCCGCACATAGGCACCCCAGCGTCCTCCTCTCGCGTCCGGTCCTCCTCCGGCAACTGGATGTAGATCTCCCTCTCAGCGCGCCCCATAAAGTGAGCCCGGCTGATGTCCCACACCCCAAGTTTCCTTTTCTTCTTCCCTGGCCTCTTCGTCATGAACATGCTCAGGAGTAGCTGAACGCACTCCAGCGGCGGGGTCGCCGCAAAGGTCTCCTCCACCCTCAGCTGCTCCTCCGGCCGCTTCGCCTTCTTGACCTCCTTGGTCACCAGCCTGCTCCTTACTTTGACAGCTTGGCTGTCTCCCTTGTTGACGTCCAGCCACTTCAACTGCAGGGGCTTAAAGCCTCTCTCCTGGCAGATGCTCATCGGCACCCGTTCGTAGACCTCCTCCTTGGCCAACCAGTCGATCTCTTCCTTCCTGGCAGCCTTCACCTTCTCCACAGGCAGCTCCGTGCCTGTCACATCATCCACATAAACTCCTTCTGGTAGAAGTCCTCCTGCTCCACGTACTCATCGGGCGAAGGCCCAGTCAGCTTCTCCTCCAAACCGCTGATCTGCTTCCTGGCCCTCAGCTCTTCTCTCAAACCCCTCAGGATTGGCTCCACCAGTTCCTTTGGGTACACCTGTGCCATCTTCGCACGGTTCTTCCCAATGAGGTGCGTGTGGCGATGCACCTCTCCTCCAGCCAGCAAATTCTCACACTGGCCCTCCAACTCCTTTGCAATGCGCTCCGAGTTGGTCATCCATCTCGTCTCCTTCCGGACGTGTAGTAGCTCACCGTCCGGATTTTCCATCTTCATGCCAAACCGGCACATCGGGCTTGTGACCAGCCATGTGCCTGGCCTCTCCAACATGGCCTGGACCTCCGGCATACTCCAGCCCGTCGATCTCCTTGGGTGCTCATGCAAATACACCCCGCCCTGGTCTGCCTGCAGCAGCTCATCGCCTTTCTCACACGGGCCTTCCCGAGCTCCTCTTCCTCCAGCACCACCCTTGGATCCCGCTTCGGATTGGTGATATTCCGTAGCGGGCTGAACGTGGTGCACGGCGGAGAGCTCGTGACCAACCAGCTCGTGACCAACCAAGGCTCCTCATGCCGAATCATTTCGCGCACGAGCTCATAGTCCTCCTCCCGATCCAGGTCCCATCTCTCTTCACCTCCTGGCTTCATCTCATCCAGGTCCACCGCAGCTCCGTCCCGGAACCAAACCTGGCCAACTCCTTCGTCAGCCGTTCCGGGCTGAACACCTCGATGAGGTCCAACGCTCCCAGCTCCTTCACAATGCTCGCCGCCTTATCGCTCTTCATTTTCTGCCCTAGCTCCCTTTCCGCCTCCATCGACCGAGCTCCTGCTGGACCGGCCTCTTCCTCTTCGGCTTCCCGCAAGAGATCCTCTATGTCCCTCGCACCGCCTTCTCCTCCCTTCCTCTTGGGAGACTCACCACCGCCGGGCCCTCTGCTCGAGCTCGATGGCTCTTGCGTTGCCTCTCCTGCTGCGGCATCTCCTCTGCTCTCATCGATTTCAACCTCGGCCACTCGCTTCCCGGCTCTGTGCCGGTCCTCCCGAAGATCCTCCTCTCGGGCCTTCTTCCTTACCTGCTCTTCCTTCTCCTCTTCGTCAGCCTTCTTCTTGAAGATCCGCGACCTGCACTCCTCATTGTGCCTCACCTGCTGAAATGGCTTGCCCCGCACCAAGGATATGCACCCTTCACACCCCAGGGTCTTGCCATACTTCTCCACCATGGCCTTCCGCACCGTCCGTGCCTTACCATGTCCTCCGTCTGCCTCTCGGCCTTCAGGTCCTGGCGGGCTAGCCGTGGCCTCCTCCGCCACAGCCTCCGGCGCCCCTCCTCCGGGTCCGGGGAGCCCGCTCATGACCCTGCGGTGGCTGCTGCTGTTGCTGCTCCTCCAACGGGTCGACATAGTACTTCACGTCCCAAGGAACTCCCCGCAAGCCTTCCTCCAGCTTCAGCCACTTGTCTCCTTCCGCCACCGTGTGGTGGCCAGTCCCAACCACAACTCCATTTGCGGTCATGACCAGCACCGACCCAAACCTGTTGTGGGTGCCCAAGTACCGGCCTGCCACCATTCGCGAAAGGTCTCCTCTCCGGCCTTTCCCTGCCGGCTTCACCAGAATCCTCTCCCCGAACTCCGGCATCGGCTTTGTCCATTTCTTCCCGGTTCTTCTCTCCTCTGGCGTGCGCCCATCCGCACCGACCTTGAACCGGTTCATCTGCTCGGCAGCAAACCTCGGAGCCCAGAGCGTCAGCGGATGTCCTTCGGGCACTCCTCCTTGCACCTTCTTGCCGACCGTCATCAGCACCGCCCGAGTCCTCCATTTGATCTCCTTGACCGCCTGCTCTGCGACCCCGTTCGCCTTGGAATCCCCCGCCGGCGACTCCTCCGGAATTGCCTTCCGGACTCCTCTTGCCTTCTTTGCCGCCTCCATCTTCATCTTGACGATGGCCCTTTCTCCATCGCTCTTCATCACCACCTCCGGGTACCCCAAGGTCTCCAAGAACCGCGTGACCGTCTTCTGGCCCGTACTGTCCGTCAGGCCCTTCTGCTTCAATGCCACCGCCGCCATCATTCCTGTGCGGCGATCCACCGCCGCAAAGTTCGGCTTTGACCCTTCCTCCTCTAAGGTAGAAATAGGCCACACTCGGCAGCTCCTCCTCCTGACGAACCTTCCTCCTGTGCTGTCGCACCATGCCCGTGGCATTCACGCACTCCTCGCACCAGCTCCTGTAGACAGCGTGTCCGCTGGCCTCATGCTCTCTCCTTTCCCTCGCCGTTGGCATCGGCGGGGTCCACCCTGGATTTACGGCCCTGGCTTCTACCGATTCCTCGGGAGCGGCGGGCCCACCAGGCGGTTCCTCCTCCAGCGCCCACACAGTGCTTCCTTCTTCTTGCCTCCAAGGCGGCTCCTTCCACGGCGGTCTCGCCGCACTCCTTGCCGCCCCAGCACGTGATTTGGGCGTTGCACCCAGACCAGCCCCATCACCTCCAGGCTCCGAGCTGGCCGCACCTTCGTCCGTCTCCGGATCCATCTCCAGGTAAAAGTTGTAGATGCCCCCTTCCTCTAGCAGCGGAATGAGGCCCTTGTCGTCGTGCCTGCTCATCGCTCTCTCGTAGGTCCGCTCCATCTCCTTGCACACCGGGTGGTCCAAGGGCATGATCATGCCGCCGCCCTTGAACATCCATGTGCAGTGCCCCTTGGCGTGCAGCTTGCCCGCGCTCACCAGCACCTTGTGCACGTCCGTCGCATTGCCGTTGATGCTCCTCTTCACTCCACCGACGTCATAACCAACCACTCCGACCGGCCCATAGTTTCTGATCAACTCCCCGCTCGCCGTCTTGAATGAGTTGGACTTCTCCTGCGGGTTCTCATGGTACTTCTTGGGCACGGCCGTGATCGAAGCGCCAGTATCGAAGTTGCACTGCAACCAAGTCCCACTACCGGCTGGCGCCGCTTGGGATCTCATCCTTCTCGCAAACGACCCAACCTTCTTCTTCCTGTCAGCGGTCAGCGCGCACAGCTCGAGGGCATTGGCTTCTCCTTCAGGTTCCCCCTGATCCTCCAATGCCCCAGCGTCCTTGCCTTTGGATCGGCCCTTTGAGCTCTTTGGGCTAGCATTGGATGACCTCCTCCAGCACCCCAGCAATCCTTCTTTCGGTGCCCAGGCTTCCCGCAATTGTGACAGTTGCCCTCAAACTTCTTCGGGGAGCCTTTGCCGGCGCCAGGGGACTTTCCTCCTTTTCCACCTCCGGTAGTAGGCTTCGACCAGCAGTCCTCCCGCCGATGCCCCTTCTTTCCGCAGTTGTCGCACGTCCCCTCGAACCTGTGCCTCCTCCTTTGCCACCCTTGCCCTTGCCCTTCACCAAGGACGCAAGGTTGCCGGACACCGCCTTCACCAGCGAGTCCACATCCATGGGAACCGCATCACCTCCGCCGGTAGTTGCTGCTCACATCTTGCTCCCAGTCTTTGCCTCCATGAAGGTCACCACCTCGGCCTCCATCTCCTCAAAGTTCTTGAACCTGGAGAAGTTCAGCAGCAAGTGCATCTCCATCTCCTTCGGGACCAATTTTTCTAAGGCATTCATAGCGAGCGAGTCGGGCAAATCCTCGCGGCGCCCGAATTGATCCTTCTTTTTGTTGTAGCGGCCTCTCAAGGCCTTCCATCTCTCTAGGGCGGCTCCGAGGTTCTCATAGCTGGCTCTCTCCGGGCTTGTCAAAGCTTGGAGCATGATCCGCTTTCGCCCGCCCGTCGCCGGGTCGTACTTCTTGTGGGATCCAGTCCAGCACCCATCGGCGCGTTCCCGATGACGTCAAAGGCCACCCTCCGTCGTCGACCTCAGGACGGTGTAGAGCTGGTGATCAAACTCTGTGACCTCATCCCACTGATCCGTGAGATCCGCCGCCACCCCAAACGTCGCATCCACCTCGTGCTCCGTGATGGCCAGCTCACTCCCGGCGGCCCATTCCAACACCTCTCGCGCCTTCCCACCAAAGACACCCGCCACATAGTCCTCGAGCTTCACCGCCCAGACCCGAAATCTCGCCTCCGCATCTTCTCCCAAGATCTGGGGCTTACCAAGCCCTTTCTGGTCGATCAGGCCTCGACCCCCTCTGCTCATCTTCTCCAACGCCTCCGGCAGCTTCTGCAGCGCCGCGATCACCTCCATGGACCCAGCGGCTCCCGGTGCCCCCTGATGGGCCTTGCTCAGCGGCCTGGATCCGGTCCCGCAGCTGCTGGTTCTCCGACTGCACCACCTGCAATTGCTGCTGCACCTGTCTGAGGCCATTCACGATCTGCTCCATCTCCGTCATCGAGGGCCAACCCGATCACCACGTAGTGGCCGTCCACCGCGTAGAAACCCAAAAGCCGCGAGCGGTCAGCCACCTCCAGCAGCGCCAGCTCCTCTTGGCTCTGGCTCCAAGCACCACCTCCTTCTTGTCCGCCACCTGGCCCCGTTCTCCAGCCGGGCCTCTCTGTGGCTCGCTTTACGGCGCTCTCCTCCTCCTGTTGGGGATCACCCTCGGAGTCCTCCTCCTGATGTTGGTGTCCTGAATCGTGCCGTAGAGCTCCGCTACCATGCAGACATGGCTTGTAGCAGCGGATTGTTCTTTTGCCCAGATGGCTGCGCAACGTGTGCAAAGTCTGCACTGTCAAATGATCCGCTCAATAAATATTACGTTTCCCAGCACCCCAAACCTGCCGATACTAAACTTGAACTAGCCAGTACCAAGCCTAAAAGAGCAATCTTCCCGCCGACCCCAATTCCAAACCAATACTAATCCAATGGTAAACCAATATAAAGCCAGAGCAAATCCAACAAATGGGGTGGATTTTGCAGTTTGAATTGCTTACTAGGAATTGCAATTTTGATAGATTGTTGAGCATGCCTGGGCCAGACATGGACTTTATCAGTTTACATGTGTTTGGTATTCCTTGGGGGCCTGATTATTATAGGGGAGACGATCAAGGAGCGGTCCCACATCAAACAGAACAAACAAGGGCTTTGATGTAACATATGCATGAAATTGAATCTTGTTCAACGAGTTCCCACCTCATGTGCATCTGATTCAATGACCTCTGGTTTCCATTGGGCCCAGGGTCTGGTCGCAGCATACATTGCAACTAAAAAACAGCCTAGTGGTCCCAATCGGAAGAAAGGGAGCCCACAGACACGGCCATGTGTAGCAGCTGACCCAAAACTTGGCAGTCAAATAAGGTTCAAGATTCTTCCCCGATTTGGTTTAGCATCTAAAGCCGACAGTATCACCAGTTAGATTTAGTTAGTATTCACCTTTTAGTTACTCCTTTGGCTGCGTACTCTCAATTCAGTTGTTTTTTGGCCCAGCGCCTTTTGAAGACACAGCTATCCAACGGCTTAACAAGCGCATCTCCAGCGTGCCTCAGCAAAGTCGCAGCTCAGCTGCGAGCAGTACAAGAACGTCAGTGCCATCTCCAACACCTGCAGGCATCGGAGGATTTAGGCATGCGCAGTGAATTTCCATCAGAACCCAGGGCACCTCAAGACTTATCCGAGTTGATTTGCCCAACACCCAGGAAACTGTCGTCTCCGACCAAACGTGTTCCTAGATTCGGGGACACCCACCAAGTCATCGCCAGTCACAGTTCTCTTAACCGTTTAAATTGGCTGTCTGCAGGAGGTGACGGCTAGGCAGCACAGTTGGCCAAACAGAAGTCGAATCCCAATAAAGCCCATCCCCCAGGATACATCAAAAAGTGAGCAGACAGCTGCGCATCTGCGCTCTCTCCGTGCGTGGCGTCAAATGTAGATGCTTCCATTTTTGGTATCTGGTTAAGAGAACCAGCCATAGAGCCGCGGAGCGCTGGGAATGTATCGGTGCCAGCCTTCCTGCCGGGTACCCATTGGGCGTCTGCCTAAATGACTGAAGTATATGTCTCAATCAAAAGAGCCAGGGTTCAAGTAACAAAGAAGCCAAACAAAAGGAGCCCTGCTGCCAATGGGCAATCGTTGGAAAGGCAAAAACAAGTAAACAACTAGTCCTGGCAACTGTGCACAAGAAGGCCCATCTCACCCTGATAACATTGCATATGCTTGAAAAAAAGAAAAACACACAATGGACATCTCATGGACCCTAGACCCCTCAACTATTCTCGAAAGATCTGCCCTTCCACCCTGGCTCCACGTGGGTCGATCCTAGTGCCTGGCCAGGTGGTCAGAATAACACCTAGAAGGCCCAAAGCCTAGCGTCTCCACACCCAAATCCTGAGCAACCGACAAACAAAAACAAGTCTGCGAACACCACCCTTCCTTTGGTGACAAGCAAGCCGATACTTCAAAATGGCCAGCACGGACCCCATCTCTCTGGATGAAACTGTGGAGCCCCATTGCGCCAAAACGGCCAAAGAGTTCCCAGCCTTCCGGCTGCGGCAACACAGGGGGTCGATCAGCAAGGGCCTCCGATGTCTGCATCTATGCACATGTGCTTTCACACGTGATAAATACATAAGCACACGTTATGTAAATAGAAAGCAGAACACGTCATACTACACAGCAGCATAACGTTGATGTAATTAAGCGATCATGTAAAATGATAAGTGCATGTATGTTCATGAGTGTGTGTATGCCTTTGCGCGTGCGCGCGTGTACGTGTAAGTGTAAGCATATGTGTTTTTGTATGAGTATGTGCATCGTGGGTGTGTGTGCTTGTCTATCTGTATGCATGTGTGGGTGCATGTGCACGTATATGTAGATACATGAATGTATGTATGAATGTATGTACGCGTTTGTTTTGATCAGCGGAATGCGTCCCAAGCAGAACACATGTCAGCAGTGCACTTGAAAAATCATCTGCGTCTATTCGGAAAAGACAACATTTTCCATTGGGAACGTGACTATAAGCAAGAGGGTGGAGTAAACGCCACATCCGAGTATTATCAAAACAAGCGGGCATAGAGTGTGCGTTGTAATGTTTGACCATGGACAAGTCATGGGCAACATCGTAAGGCGAAGGAAAGGAGCCAGCATTGCGAAGGAGAGCGCGGTGGTAGGCCTCTGTCATCCTTCATCAGGATCTTGCAAAAGGTCATTTTGGAGGACTGCCTTGTACATATAGGCATCTCCTGTGAGTCTTTGAGCAGAGGTCCTCTCTTGGGTGCTTCCACCGTAGTGATTGTCACCCAGTCGTCCACGAGTTCTTCATACCTAAGCCGGCTGGCTTGCTTGCCTGCTTGCTTCCTTGCTTTGCCTATTTGCTTGCTTGCTTGCTAGCAAGCCCTCGGTTACGGCTAACCCCTTGCTTGCTTCCTTGCTGGTCTAACTAGAAAAAAATACGCCGAAAAACCGGAAAACAATTCCCCAGAAAATAGGGGAACCTTGGTGCAGGCGTGGCCGGTCTAGCAAATGGCTGCGCGCGCGGCCGGTCATGAGTGAGTTCGGCAAAACGCGTAAGAATCGCAAGGGGCGGTCTTTTCCGAGGGGAGCCGACATAGGAAACGAAGTGACAATCAACAGCAAGAGATCCAAGAAATTCCAAGAAAAACCAAGAAAATCCAACAAATTTCTCGTTTTTTCTTGGATTTCCGGTTGGGAGATCCCAGCTCGCAGCCAAACAAAGGGAATGCAACTATAACCAGACGCACCGGCGCAGTTGCGTTGCACTGGCCGTCAGGTTACACCGTCAGGTTACACCGGCGGTTCCTCGAGATTTAGTCAGGTTGCGCCGGCGGTTGCGCCTCTATAGGCAGCTGTCTGGTTACACCGGCGGCCGGGGGTCTGGTATACGCGGCCAATCCCGAAGAACCAAGAAACAAAAATGAGAAAATGCGACTATGCTGCTAGGCACAGCCGGTCTATATCTCCGGCCCATCTACCCGATAATTTTCCAAGAACGACCCAAGAAAAACCAAGAAAATCCGAGAAATGCTGCCGGTCCGGCCTATCTACGCGAGAAATTTCCAAGAATGACCCGCGAAAAGCCAAGAAAATCCGAGAATGCTGCTGGCACTGCCGGTCCGGCCTATCTACACGAGAACTTTCCCAGAATGACACGGGAAAAAATCCGAGAATGCTGCTAGGCACCGCCAGTCTAAAACTCCGACCTATCTATACACGAGAATTTTCCGAGAATGACCCGACAAAAACCGAGCAAGTCAGAGAATCTTGCTGGCACCGCCGGTCCGGCCTATCTACACGAGAATTTTCCGAGAATGACCCGAGAAAAACCGAGAATGCTGCTAGGCACCGCCGGTCTAAAACTCTGGCCTATCTACACGAGAGTTTTCCGAGAATGACCCGAGAAAAACCGAAAATCCGAGAATGCGGCTAGGCACCGCAAGTCCAGAACTCCGGCCTATCTACACGAGAGCTTTCCGAGAATGACCCGAGAAAAACCGAGAAAATCCGAGAATGCTGCTAGGCGCCGCCGGTCTAAAACTCCGGCCTATCTACACGATAATTTTCCGAGAATGACCTCTGCAGAGAAAGAACCAAGAACATCCGAGAATGATGCTAGGCACCGCCGGTCTAAAACTCTCCTATCTACGCGATAATTTTCCGAGAATGACCCGGGAAAAACCGAGAAAATCCGAGAATGCTGCTAGGCGCCGCCGGTCTAAAACTCCGGCCTACCTACACGAGAATTGTCCGAGAATTGCCCGAGAAACACCGTGAAAATCTAGGCACCGCCGGTCTAAAACTCCGGCCTATCTACACGATAATTTTTCGAGAATGACCCGAGAATCCGAGAAAGCCCGCTAGGCACCGCCGGTCTAAAACTGCGGCCTATCTACACGAGAATTTTCCGAGAATGACCCGTGTGAAACACCGAGAAAATCCAAGAATGCTGGCACCGCCGGTCCGGCCTATCTACACGAGAATTTTCCGAGAATGACCCGAGAAAAACCGAGAAAATCCAAGAATGTTGCTGGCACCGCCGGTCCGGCCTATCTACACGAGAATTTTCCGAGAATGACCCGCGGCCATTCCGCCTTCTTGCCCTTGGGCTAGAGCTCTAGCTCTGGCCCTTGATGCCATCTAAGAACCGCGTGAACATGCGCCCACCACACATTGGAAACCAGCTTAATGTTCGGCGCCGGTTCATGCTTTTTTCGCTTCTTTAAGATAGGCCGGTCCAGCCTATCTTTGCAGGCGGTACCCTCCACCAAACAAGCCCACACCTCCCGCTCCCTCCACAGCCTTCCGTGCACCGACTCCGCCGCCTGGTGGCTCCAGCGCTGTCATTGATTTGGAGGCCAGCAAGACCTTGGCCTCGGTGGATGCATCCTCTGCGTCGGCAAGCGCATCTGGCGCCCGTCCTGAAGGGCCCAAAGCCCAGATATTGCAGCTTGCCCGTGCAGTTTCTTCTATGCGCTCTTTGCAGTTTGGGCCCCTTCTACTGAAGAACGCGTTGGACACGCTGTTTTCTTTCTTCCATGATGTTAAGAGCAGCGGGCCGCCAGATGGATTTGCAGCCTTTGACGACTTTC